TTTTTTTTCTTGTGTACTTCATTAGCACATGTCAGTCGCGCTCGTTCGCCGTCATCTGCCTTCTTCAGTTTGACAGATGGATCTTTGTTTTTTAGGTGACTTTGTTACTGTTATTCTCAGAGTCATTTAATGAAACATCATATACAGTAAAGCTTTTATACATAACATTACTATTATACTAGGGTTAAGCAGCGTTTAAAAATTTTAACTAAAGTTTTTATGACATGGAAGAATGTAGTAAGGTAATTATTTTTATTTCATTCTCTCATGCAGAGATTTTACCTAGCCGCTAGGGGCTAAGCATAGCCAGCTAACTGCTGTCTGCTGCAAATTTATAATGTCCGTGTTCTTTTGCACTATTCTGCAGTGTTCTCTTCGTGCCGTTCTGAATAACAGCTTTCTGACGATTTGTCAGTAGCCTTTCCGTACGCTTGACATGGTCAAAATCGTCTCCGTTGTCTTTTTTAATGAGGCCAATGACAGAGATCATAAATGATGTTGTTCGTACAGTCTTTAATCGATCTGGTGCTTCAGATCGATGGCTGAGTTTTGATATATTCCTAGTTTCTCCACCCATGACTTTTGCAAGTTTTCATCCAGTGGAAAAGTAGCATCAGTTATTTCATCTATCCTGTTTCTGCGACCAAGGTTTAATAAGTCTGAACCGTTGTCATCAACGGAATGATTGGTTACCGTAGGATGGCTGAGATAGATGATACCTTGGTCATTCTCAAGCATGACACCATTTTCTCTTGGTATCGATCATGTGGCCTTGTTTGTGAGATGAGACGTATTTCAACGACCATTTATTGGTGTATTATCATTGCGACGACATTGGGTCACCTGAGGTGGTCAGTGTTGGTCAAAACAAAGCAACCTGCAACTACATACTGGATCGATTCCGTTGTACTGTCGCACATCCTGCATTTATCCGACATGTTCTCCCTCGTGATATGTTTCCTATAGTTTTTCGTGTAAACACAGAATTGAATCTTGTATTGCTACGGCATGGCTTTCTGTTTCTGCGACCAGTTCTCCCTCTTAAAGCCAGGCGTGTGACATTTCCAGGTAAGTTCCCTCAGAGATAACGGCAGCGTAGATAACGCCCTGAAACGTTTTCAGCAGTCTGGATCTTACACTGCTTTTCGCTACCACATGGCCGCTTTCAGACATATTTAACTGGTTGATTGATAATAACTTATTCAACGGTTTACGATATTATTAACACATGTAACTGGTTAATTATTGGTACTGCATAAGGTTTACCTAATTCGCTGTATTTTTTCTTTAAGAAATTCGTTACTGACCTTCAAGCCTCTGCATTTTAAAGCTGTAACTACAGATCATTTATTACTTGAGTGATGATGTGAATTGATGTTTATATATTCATCCAGTTTAGTAGGTTTACAATATCCTCTAGTTTTTAAGAAATTACCACATTTTATCATTAAAAAGTCAAGGAAAAATTTTATTTTTCAATAGTTAATGTAAT